ATATAACATTTATATAAATATTTATAACATTTATATAAATAACAGAAAATAAAATTGAAGAATGAATCAGATCATAGTTGAAAATTTGCTTTTAAATTGATCGCAACATAAAAGTTTTAGGACATTCTGTACGCTTCTCTCGAAAGCCACGTTGATCGCTATAACGTAGGGATTTATCGCATTTTCGAGTAACGGTGCATGTCATAGTTATCTGGACCGCGCGTTATATGTCGATGTAAAATGTATCTGGATTGACGGTCCTGATACCATGACGACGCGTTGTGAGATTGATCCACGTGCGAACCGCAAAGACGATACGGAAATAACGATGCTTGCAAGTGATTTCGAATATGAAACGAACATGTCCTCTGTATTTATCCGAGCAAACTCTTGGTGTGTTGCACGACGCAACCATTCCATCAGAATTTCTGCCATGAAATGTTTATACTGCATCCCCATATGAAATCCACTTTCCTTTCTCCTCAAAAACGACTTGTCTTTATTCCTTGAGAGGAGTCTTCATTCGATGACGAAACTCTGTTTAAAACATCCCCTTCGCAACGACGAATCAAACGTCGCTCATCAATACGATGCGAAAGTTAACTTCCTTTCGAGTCTCCCTTCACGATTCCATGGTTCTCTAATCTCGTTAATTCTATAAATGATATTCAGGAAGCATATTCATGGATTCCGCAAGTTTGTTGTACAAAAGCAAGAGATTAAGAAAGAGAAAAGAAAGAGAAAGAGAGTAATTGTCGATTATGTTACTTTATGTTACAAAGTAACTTAATTGAAACAAAAGTAGAATTTCTTGTAGCATCAAAATTATTTTAAATTTTATATTTCTTTAAAATTTCAATTTTTTATTAAAAGAATCAATATATTTCAATGATTGCAAGAGTTTGTCATCGTTAAAAAATCTTTAAGAGAAGAAAATATTAAAATATATGACGTGGAAATACGCTTTTCTTTCTTTTTACTTTTTAGAAAAATTCCGTAAAATATAACAGAAATTAATGCGATGAAATGCTCTTTTTGCGCGTTATACGAAAACTGCGCGGTCCACTAAAATGCGCACCTAAAAAAATCGCACGACTATTCGATCGTTAGCAACACCCGTGCCCGAACGATAAATATCGATAAAGAAGGTCGGTAGCTATATATAAGTGCAGCACCTTTCGTTATTGCGGATTCTTGTTAGCCCGAGTCAGGATTACGAAGGAAAAACGAGGAAACTTCTTTGTCACCAAGAAAGCGGCTCCGTTCGAGAGCTATTAATCGACCCGAATGGCCTTCGAGACGCTTTAAAGTCATCAAAACTTCTTCACAGTCCCAGCGTCGAGTATCGTCGAACGGACTTCCGTTAATCGTTCTTAATTACTTCCGAAGAAAAACGTACTCGGGCGTGTCGTTAGGCGTATCCCATTGAACTTGGTAAATTCTCATTGGAGAACTAGTCGAAAATACACCGCGATAGGAAAAGTGGAAAATAGATGACGAAAATAAAAGAGATAAAGAGAAAGAATTGATGCTAAGACTTTAAGATTTTTTTTGTGCCGAAAGCGGCAGAGAAAAAACAAGGAACTTATAATTTTGATAAAATAAGAATGAAAGTAGAACATATATATAATCTCTTGTATGTGATAAAATATATCAAACAATATATAAAACAACGAAATAAATACGAAACAAAATAAATTTTTTAAAATAATAAATTTTGATAATATAATTTTATTTTAAATGAATCGTCATAATTGAATTACGCAGAATATTTATATTTGGCTTATATAGTACTTATGTCATGATTTTAACGTCTCCGATATAAAATTTTCATTCTTTGCAATCTTTAAACTTTAATGCGGATTTTTTATATTATTTCAAAATATAAAAATCTGAAACAATTCTTACATATTATATTTACGAAAGTTTTAATGAATTTTTACTATCATAGAAATTGAATTGTATTTTATTTATTTGTTACAAATACTAATTTATTTACTAGAATTCAACAAATCAACTATGCCTTTAATACGACAAAATGGATTAACAAATTGAAATAAATCTTACTGCGAATGTCCTTAAGTGGAACAAATTTAAAAAGAGTTACGAGATTATTTTTTTTATGAGACATCTAAAAACAAAGATGTATTCTCGAAAATGAACGTCAGGTTACCCTGTCAGGTCACCCTGTCTAGATGAAGACTAGGGAGACAAAAGCGACAGAGAGAAAATCTAGAGGGTGCAAGGAACGCAAGCTTATTGGGGATGATTAAATACCGCGATAACTCATGCCGCGCTGTACCCGCGGGGTGATATTTTAAGATTGTTGCCTCTAGTGGTTCAACCGCCCTGGGCTCCACGAGAGAGTCGGAGGACCGATGAAAGAAATCGAGGCACGAAACGGTAGATACCACCGCCGCAGTTGTCGCGATAGGGAACGGGAGATGCGGGGACAGCGCGAGATAGAAGACGGCGAGAGAGAAATGGATGACTTCGGTTGGGAGGGAGGAAAAAAGAGGTGAGACATGGGGCGGCGTGGCGGCACCAAGCTCTTACTCGGCAAGCCAAATCTCTGAGGAGCTCAAAATGCCGAGGCTATTCTACGCACGTATCATCGCTCCCGCCTACGACCGCCCTTGCCCTCGCGTCCTCCATCCGGTCTTTCAACCCCTTCCAAAAGGGCGAACAGGCGGATAGGAGAACCGAGAGGGTTTCTCGTATCTCTCTCCGTATACCTTGCCTCACCTATCAGTATTCTCGTTGCCTTTTCGTTCCTCTCGGACACGATCTCCTTCCTTCGTCTCTTCCGTGTCTCAGACATGAAAACGGTCGGTCAACGCACCTCGGAACGACTGGCGGCCTTCTAAAAAATGCACTCGCACCTTCCGCCAAACCTTCTCCGTCTCTCTTTTTCTCTCTTTTTCTCTCTCTCTCACCGCCATCCCTTGCTCGTGCATCTCTCTGGGGAAAGTGTTTCAGACCTTGAAAATGCACGATATCTCGACCGCGCTTCGGGGCGAGGCTCGTCGAATCGATATCCACGCACACAACGCATATAGAGCATGCAGCATCCGTATGTATGTGTGTACGTCACGTCGTTGTTGGGTCGGTGAGCGATGGGAATTTCTCTATGAAAGACGTGCAGATAAAAACGAAGAACAAAGACGAACTATCCTTGTTGTTATTTTTTAATTAAATATTTGGGCTGTCTGGCAAACTTTTGACCGATTCTTAATTGATATTGATTTACTGCCATCATTGTGATTAATGAAAAAATTGCACGACTGATAAAAACGAAGTGTCAGTATTGAAACGTAGGTATAATAAGTTTATAGTACATGTACTACATGACTATAAATATATAGACATAATTTTAAATATATAAAATTTCTCATTCTGTGAATCGTATATATGTGAAACTTATTCTATTTAGATATTGAAGTTATATAGTTGTTTAAAATTAATGAAATATTTCATAAAATGAAACAAAACTTATAACGTTAAAGAAACGTACAGAGTTATTACGTAATGAAAATACATGCTGTGATATTAACAAAATTTCTCAGGCAAACGCGTAAAAAGATTTTCTTGTTCAACACTATGTATCACGTTTATAGTTCGAAATATATATTGTTAAAATTTCGCATAGAATGCATAAACGCGTACATATAACGTATGACGTGTCTGTGCATGTGTTGCGTGTCAGGTGAATGAGCGATGAGAATTTCACTGTGAGAAATGTGCAGATAAAGGCAACGAGAGATAAATGAAAGAGAATGGACGAACTTGATCATTGAAATTTGGATTCAGTTTTCAGAAAAACTAAATTACAATAAATATAAAATTTCAATGAAAAAAATATTCTTAAATTTATTAATGTAAAATCATTTGATAATACGATGGATTATAAAATATGCATTAAACAAATCGCTTCGAGTTTTCATAAAAACTGGGAAAATGAAATAGATTAGCGAATATTGTGAACATATTGAATATATCAAATGTGCTTTATAAACTTTTTATCAATTTTATGAATTATTATCAAATTAAAGATTTATCTATATAATCACGGAGTTACGATTTCATTGAAACTATCGCGAATGATACGAGTATATATATTATGCTGTATGTAAATAGTTGAAAGAAGAAAATTATAGATAATTCATACTGGTTTGATACTTGACATTTTTATCGACTTTCAGACGAATGAGATTACTTTGGGCAAATTGTGATTTGGTTTACGATACATGCAGCTCTTTTTTACGACAGCTACGTGCTTCATTCGCTCCGATGAATATCACACTTTAAAGTCTCGATAGTCATAACTGTGTCTGGGTTGATACTTGAATTTACAAAATCTTTTACAATACAATATCTTTTCTGTTAGTAGCACAATTTATTATTTGTCTTAATATTTTAAGAAGTGTTCTTACTATGAATTCTATTTTATGTAATCACATCAAAATTCGTAAGTTATTATTTTAAATTATAAAAATTCAACAAATTCTAATTTAATTGTGTCTTATATAAATTAATAGTTAAAAAAGAGAAATCTGTAGTTCTTATTCATTCGACATATTTATAAATATAAAATAGAAAAAAAATATTCGAATATTTTACATTCTTGATACTTTAACTTAATTAATATTAATTAATCTTACAATTTTAGATCTTTATTGATAGACATTTTAGTTGATAATAAGAGGAATGTTTTGGCACGAAATTTTCGTCATAAATCAGATTCTATAGATAAAGCTGTTGAAAATGTATTATCTCCCGTTCTTCGATAGATTCACGTTGATTCGGACGTCGTAAATAAAGACAAATGGCAAAGCCAGCGAGAACGTCGTGGCAAAACATTATTCGAGGACGACACCTCAACTGGGTTAATTTGTAATTATCCATCTCGTCGGTATATCGTGTAGATAAGTTCTTATGCGGCGATGCAGCAAAGAGCAGTACAATTAAGGAGATAATTGTATAAGTAGAATAGATCTTACCTCGAATACGAAGAGAAAAACGCGGCGCTGTTAATTCGGCCGGCTGCACTTTCCTTCGACTCCATTCGGTCTTAGGACTGTGAATTTAAAGGCGTTCTTTCGCGAATTCTTTGGAAGGGAAGGCTTTTTTCGTCCTTGCCTTCCGAGACGCCCAACTCTAGATTACAGAAGACGTTTGATTAATTCGAGCGAGGACGGCGCTTGCTTCTTTTAATCGAGTAAAACGCGTATAAACTCAATTATTTTTATTTTCTCCTGCTTATACGACATTGATCGTCGTTTTACTTCGCCTTAAGTTAACTTGAGTCAATTTGGTATGATTAGCTTCTCATAACATTTAACGCTGAACGTGTTAATTATTGTATAAAAGAATATAATACAAAATATTAAAATTATGATTATTTTGTAATATATATATATATATTTAACATAAAAAAAATATATATATATATATTGTATATATTTAACAAAATTGTTTTATCGTCATATTACACTGTTAGATAAACGCTAAACTAATCCTTTGAATTAAATAACATTTTGTTATTTCTAGCTTTCATTTGTAAATAAATTCGTTAATAATGTAATAATAAATCCAAATGTAAATCAATCCGTTTAGTTTCAAAGTAAACAACGTCCATATCAACGTATGTACTTAATAAATACTAAATTTGAATCAAATTTAATATATTTTCTTGAGTTATATTATTTGACTAACTAAATGATTTTTAAATGAGTTAAATTAACGACATATTGAGTAGTAGTGCAGAAATAATTAAAAATTAGTCAAATTGAATATAATTTGACATTATCAATTTAACAGTGTATTAATCAGAATATACATGTATAATAGAGAATTGGATTTTAGATTATCAATTTGGACATTTATTTCTTAAAATAAATGATAAATTGTGTGATTGGCTTTATTAGATAATTACTTGTCACTTCGAAGTTTAATTAAATAAGCACATTTAAAGCTTCCTATAAAGCGCATCCTATATCACATTATACTTGTTCGAAAAAATTAGACGAAAATAAAATGATGCATTACGCAGAACACGGTCTTAATGATATGCTATTTTTTGCTTTTTATGGATGAATTTCTATGTTTGGAAAAGTAAAGTGCCAAGAAAATCGTTAAATGATAAAAAAAACGTTAAGAACATTAAATAGAACGAGAAAGAAACGAGCAATGGCTAATTGTCGGAACTTTCGAAAATCTTTGTATTTCACAATGAAGAGGCGCGTTTGTTCGTAAATTACGGAAATAGGAACGAGGAAGTTCTAGGTTCAAGCAAGGGTGAGATCTGCGACAAAACTGAGGTGGCTTCAGGGCGATTCCGCGGAAGTTGGGGCGGAAACGGCCGCAGCGGGCGCCTTGTGCGGATGAACAAAGTTGGGTAAAAATTAGCGTCGCGTGATTAACTCCGCGGAATAAATTCGCGGTAAAGCGACTGGTACCGAGAGAGACAGCGGCGTCGCGGTGCCGCGGGCCACTTCGCAGGGCTCGCTGGATAGGTGAATAAACGAGCAAAAATTGTACGACCGTAAAAATGAACTAATTCGAGAGCGTCCCGCTGTGTAACGAATGTACCTTCAGATACACTCGTCCTTCACTCCCTCTCGAGAAAATAGTGCGAGGTACTTCTCTTTTTCGTGTCGTACGCATTTCCTCCCGTTCGACGGCGAATCATAGCGAAGTGCGTTTTACGAAACGAAATTACTGAACAGTTTCCACGCTGAATAGCACTGTGTTCATTCGCGCACTGTTGCGTATATATCTGTACTCGCCGACACGGCGAAATATCGCGCGGTGTTGTCATACACTTGTATTGCTCAGCTGGGAAATTCCCCTCGAACGAATAAAGAGAGAATGACGAAATTAATGCACCAGTAATTCGTACCGCTAATGTCATCGCCTCTGCCTCACATCAAACGCGATATTTAGCAGAGTCGTAACAGGAGTCTACAATAGTGTTGAAGAAACATATATATGAATGTAATACAACATTGATTTTATAATATTTAAGGAACAAATGTGTTATACTTTGTTCCACATATGCAATTTCATATACGGAGCATGGGAAGAACGGTTCTGCTAAAGAATGCTCTTAAATTTTAGATAGATATAGATCTGAAAATAATTCTAAAGATAATTTTAGAGAAAGACATGACATTAAATTACTTGTAATATAATACAAGATACACGAAATGTCGTATCATTTATTTATTTAATTATATATATGACATTTATTTTTAACAAAATTGTCAATCAATTATACCAGAGATAGAATTAGTATAATTTATTACCATAGTCTGAAAATTGTTTAATTCAATCGTACATTTCATGCAGCAGAGATATTAAGCAATTATTCATTTTCTGTAATATGAATGAATAACTCACAGAAAAAACAATTATGTTGAATATCTGAAACCTTTAGCTAAATTTAGATCTGAAAATAATTTTGTTGAATTATCAAAACAATTATGTAGGATGCTGTTTGTTAAAATATTAAAATTTTTTGCAGCATTATACTTGGAATTCTTACATAATAATTTTGATAGTCCAACAAAATTATTTTCAGATCTAAATTTAGCTAAAGTTTTCAGATATTCAACATAATTGTTCTTTCTGTGAGTTGTTCATTCATATTACAGAAAATGAATAATTGCTTAATATATCCGCTGCATGAAATGTCATACGATTTAAACAATTTTCAGACTATGGTAATAAATTATACTAGTTCTATGGTATAATTGACAATTTTGTTAAAAATAAATATGTCATATATATATAATTAAATGATACGACATTTCATGTATCTTGTATTATATTACAAGTATAATAATTTAATGTCATGTCTTTCTCTAAAATTAATTAAGATCGATAACTTGGCGCGATACGCGATACGGACAGTCGAAAGCAGGGGATTCCAAGACGCGCGTAGATCGATCTCGCATCCGCACACGTGCTCTCGTAGTAACGGCGTGCATGCGTAGCACGTGACTAGTCCATTCAGTTATTCTCGTCGCTTTCTCCTCTTCTCTTTTCCGTTCAGCTTCCCTCTTTCTTGCGCGCTCGTTCACTTGGCTCATCAAACAAGCGTTGAATTGCATTTGCCATGCCAACATTTCGAGCAAGTGAGGCTAATTCGCATGCTTGTGTTTTCTCGGCCACGTGTCACGTTCATCACGTTCCGCTATCATGTCACTTACTTAGTATTGCAGATAAGTTCTACTGGAAAGGGTGTCGTAAAGATAAGATAACTTTATGACTCTGACATCAAGTAAATACTGTATAAAAAAGCAGCTTTCTGATTTAATCACACTTATCACGGTTATATATTAATAGTCTATTATATATTAATAGACTAAAAGTTTATTTAGAATATTATATTATTTTTCTATGATACGATCTGTATTTAAGGTTATATTTAGTTAGAAAAAGTGACACAAGTTAAATTCGAAAGCTTGTCTTATGAAATACGTATTTTTTTGTTTTCTAAAAAATCTTTATTTTATTCTTTAATTATTTTAAAAAATAACACACACATATATTTGTATATATTAAAGACACATTAATTGTTCTCTTAGAGAATATTTCTGATCATTACATCAATTCTAATTAAATAATAATTTTAGTGACATGCATAAGCATGCAGTATAGAGATATCTAATATATTATCAATTATGTAATTTGTAATTTATATTTGTGGTGGGAAAGATTAAAGCATTAATATTATGTTACATGCATAATTGATTATAACCGAGTCATTGAATGGAAGTGACATTTATTGCTTGACGCAATAAATCGCGATATCAAGCACACCTGTGAAAACCTTATCGATCACATTTCACGGAACACGTGTCGTACATCACGTAAGAAGGTAACTCTCTGAGAGTATATAAGAACTTTAACAGATGATATGCCATGTTGATCACGACTAACTACTGTTTCCTTGTTACTAACAATAAGTAGAACATTACCGTCATTGTCGTCGTCGTTTTCGTCGTGGTTTTCATCGTTGTTCTCGTCGTCGTTATCAACAACGTTTCACCTCCTTGAACGAGGCGCAACCATACACACGTGTAAATACAACCACCGTCTCGAACTATCGTTGCAAGAAGGAGGAAGAGGATTCTATCCAAAGGTGGTGACCATGGTAATGGCATTAAGGTGCGCAATCAACGAAACCGACCTGCAAATTGAATAACGGTGCGCTGTCGGTTGATATATATCGTATCCTCAACTGAACCTGATCGCACCCTCTATGGTTACACACGGTTTCTGCGTGTCTATCTCTCTTTTCTCTTACAGCCGCGTATATACAATACATTCGCACCTTTTTCTCTTCGCCGGTTCACACCAACTCAAGATACTCTCCTTTACGATCCAGCCGCCCACGCCTTATTCTCCTTGTACGAGGACGTGGTACGGAATACCTACGTGACACCGAAACTGATTCACTACAACTTTACTGGCC